CTAGAGCACATAAAGAGAGCATTCAGCTTCAGTTTATGTGAAAAAAATCAAACAGGAGAAGAGTTTTTTTTTTTGCTGCTCTTAGATGTTTTCAGGGCAAAAAGCTGTTTAATTTGGTTAGACAACTGCCTCTCCAAAGCTTTATTAAAACAATGACTACACTAGGCCACAATTAAGACACTAAAAAGAGAGATTCTTTTAGTTTTTAAATCAGGTGTTCAGCACTTCTCAACACGCTTAAAACGAACTGCACTCTGTGAGACAGCGCACTCCCACGAGACAGACGCTTGAAGCCTTTTTACTGTTAAAATCCCCAACTCTAAAAACACAGGATGAACAGGTGTTGGAAAACAAAAAGTGATTTCTCGTTTCAGTCCCTCCACTGAGCAGTCATTACTCTCCTACATGTGTGCAAGCAGTTTCAGATTTGGGCTTGCTGTTAAGCAAAAGAAATCACTGCCTAAATCATTTGTTTTGAGACAGATCCAGATTTTCAAAAAATGTGCCATATTTATGGGACTGTGCCTGACGTTTCCATTCAGAGGAAGCAGAAGCCTACCTCGATCAGCTTGTTGGCATGCTCGCGGAAAACTTGGGCGTACTCCTTCACCTCCTTTTCATTGCCGTTTTTGGCAGCCTCAATGAGGACCAGCAGAGGAACATTGGTCTCCAAAAACGAGTCTGACACATGGTCCATCACAGCCTTCCTCAGCTGAAAACAAGAACGGAAACAGACGCACAAACTCAGAAACTGTAAGGCATGTACACCCTATAGGACAAAATTATGAGAATGGCAAGGCATGCCTGTCGTTCACGTTTAATACACAGACATAAAACAACATGTAATGGGTAATGGACAGTTATATTTTCCCCTGCAGAGCAGACCATAAAATAAATATCTTAAAGAAATGGTTGCAGCAGAGGATCAAAATATTTTTACATTAATGACTCCTACATAAAAATCAATGGGATTTTGCACGTGTAACCATTAACCTCAGGAGAAAAAAGCTTGGGGGGAGGGAATGAAAAGAGGGACTATAAAAGGGGAGAGAAGAGGAGGATTAAACAAACCTGTCTGCGTAGGTCACGGGTCTTTTTAGTCATCCTGTCAATGGCCATGTTCAGAGCATCACTCTTATCCTTGCGTCCAGCCTGAGAGAGAGAAATGGGAAAGAATTAGTTGGCCTTCGCTCTTTCATTCACATTGCTGTCATACTGACAACAAGAAGGCATCTGAGGTAACCAGGAGAGTCTAGAAGCAATAATATGCAATCAAATCTTGTGTCAGGATCAGGTAATGTGGCATTTTATCTGAAGTACGATTAAGCATTAGGATGAAGTGGGCGAGATGTATATATAAAGAGTCAGAAAACGTGCGTTAATTCCAATAATTTAAACAAATCAAGCACTGCTTTGGACTTCCTGGTGCTTCATTTTTCTGCCCCGACTTAGATATAAATCGTTCCCAAAGAGCAGCGCCTTTCGATACCAGCTTTGTGAAGATAATGGTACATTCAACAGCCGTCTTAAAAAGACAGCAAAGTACTTTCAACTATTTGGCACATTCTCAAGTAATACTTTTTTCTTCCTCTCCTTTTAACTTCACTGTTAAATATCTGCCTATTTGCGTGAATGAGCTTTGAGTTGTAGCCAGATACTGCAAAAACATGGAATGACAAGATTCAAACATTGGCAGAAACGACCAAACATCTTAACAGCTCTCGAAAGAGGCTCCATGTCCGTAGACGTCAATGTGTATATATCTAACAGAGAAGTTATTACTCACTCAAGAGGATCAAAATGCATATCTGCGCAGAAAGAGTGCGACATTAAAGATTCATACCCCGATTCACAATACCTCAACATATGCCAACATACGTATATATCCCTACAGACCAACGCTTGTGAAAAGGATGAAAAATGTCCTTCTTGGGAGGGAAAAAAACACCAGAAAATCTTTAATCATAATCATATAGTGTGGATCCGCAAGATACTATTTTCCACGGTTAATTGCTCCACTGTTCCTCTTTCCCGAGGCAGTTTTTCCTGGTTTGGCGCTTGCTGACTTGACACAGTTCCCCTTGACCCATTAAAACACTTAGCTTTGTTGAGCCAGTCATAGCTACAGTTGGGCCTGTCAAGATCATATATGATTAACTGCCATATGAATAACTGCAACTGCCTCAATCCAACATGAAAAAAGGCACCCAATCTGTTTTTTGCTAAGTAAACACATGATTGTGAGAACTAACAACTCCAGAAAATAACTGTGGTCAGCTTAAATATCTGGAGTCAAGCGATTAAGTAAAAATGGTTACTGGACTACATTTACATTTAGGGCATTTGGCAGACGCTCTTCTCCAGAGTGACTTACAATTTGATCATTTTACACAGGTAGGTGAAGGTAGTGTTAGGACTCTTATTGGTATCGTGTAGGGTGCTTACCCAGGCAGGGACTGAACCCCAGTCTACAGCATAGAAGGCAGAGGTGTTACCCACTACACTATACCAACCAACTAGCTGCAGTTTGGTCATCAACCACTCCGACAATTTTCATATTCTCCTCCATGTGTCAGTTTGCTTTAGTGCTAAGTGCTATTTTTTTTTTTAGCTGAAACATGCTGGAAATGTGCATAAACATTAATAAGTCAGGTGTCTGTACTGATTTCAGCCTATTCAAAATTACTAAGTTTTGTTTGCTTTGTTTTTCTTTCAGTTTATGGGCAATTTTCTTATCTAATATGAAATGCATGACTTTTAGAAGCAAGCAAGACCACTACTGTAGTCTCTACTACCGCACTGTAGCAGAGAGACAATAGATAGAAGTGACAGTAGTGAAATACTGGACACAAGAAAGGTTATACAGTTATATTTTGTTTCGTTTCTGTTTTAGGTCTTGCCCCAAAACCAACACTTCGGGATAAACGTCCTGCACAACCAATCAGTGCTGAGATTTCTGAGATACTGCACATTGGTTCTTCTCCAAGTCTCTGAGAGATATAATTACCCATAAATGTCTTCTCCACATCTCTAAGCAAATCCATTCACATGCATCTATGCATCAAGTATGAATCAGCCATTTAAATTCGGAAGCCTCCAACAGATACGGCACATCTCCTCTTCCTCCACTCGGCACGCCTTGCGCAGCTAGCCTCGCTCATGCTGGCGCCCCAGACAAATTGTTCATGTGCAGTGGGGAGGTAAATCTCCACACAGCAAGTGGCCTGGGGGGGGCAAAGCCTTCACAGTGGAGCTGGCAGTGAACGCATGACAGCGGGGAAACACGGCTGCGAGAGCGAGCGCAACCCCCAACCCTGAAGCCCACCGGGTGGTGCGAGGCCAGGGGCTCAGGATCACCCCTGATTTCAGAACTGTTCGATCCAAGCCCCAAACAAAGCCTCCAAAAAAGGCTTTGGGGCCTAATTCTGAGAAACTGGTTTTCTTCTTCACGGTCTATTCTAAACCACACATCTTCAGCTGCTTTGCTTAATTTCATACAATCATCCTCAAAAGAAAGGAAAAAAAGTGACAGGTCATTCCTCAACAGTTTCAGAGAGAAAATCTGTGAGCTTCTAGTACTTGATCTAATAAACGACAGCACAAACACCTCTGCAGGCCAAATCATGTGCCTTCACTTCAATATTGATTCCGCTTCAAGCCAGCTCTCTTAATTGGGCAGGCACTAGAGTCCTCACACTTGTTTATATGTTTTCACAGTTAAGAATGATGGAGCTTTATCGTAAGCAAAGGATTCCTCTCCACTAAATAAGAAAGGGATAGGTAGGTAGATAGATACAAAGATAGCCAGAAATTGACATTTTTTAATCCCTCTTTGGTTGAGAAGGATAACACGCTCAGAAGAATATATGGGCAAAATAATACAACCTGGAGGGAAAGTGAGGGGACAAAAAGTAGCCAGAGTTATTTAATATCATGCCAAAAGAAGTGGAACAGAAAGATTACATGTAAGCACATTTGTGCACTGTCCACTGGAACCCCGAATGCAGCTGTAACTGCGCTTTCTCGATCTTTTTGCATCTATTTTAGTCCATGATGCTCTAACACCATGATGCATGGATGCTGAAAAAGAGCCTCAGCTGGCCACCAAGTTATGTTGCTTATGTTAGTATGTTTCAGAGTCACGGTTTCTGGTTGAATACAAAACCCTACTTGACCAGCAACAAAACGAAGTGAAAAAAAGCATGGGTTCTGTCCGGCATGCCAAAACTAGGTTGTATTTACAAGGACCGCATCCTTTGAAGTCCACATAGTGACCTGAATGTCACAGTTCAGTAAGCTCATGTAAATAAAAGCAGAGTCTGAAAGGCCAAGGGAATGCGGTCTCCAGCTCTCAGCCAGGCACGTCTTAGACTTAGCTGAGCAGTCTGAATGCTCTATTAAGTCCAGTGTTCGAAGTCTGGTCCCGCCACCACCAGCGCAGGACAACACAAACTCAACACGCCTCTGCAACGTCCAGTTTATTCGGGAAGGAGTGGGTGGTGGTGCGCATCTAATTACAAGTGGTAATATATCAAATTAAGTATCTGCTTGCTTTGCCAACTTAATTACATGCTAAATCCATTCATCACTACGGCTTCTTTGGCGAGGTAAAAATATCCATCTGTTTAGGCGACAATGGAAATGCTCGTTTAAATGTTGTAATTGGTTAAAAAAGGGAGGGGTAGCCTGAAGTACTCAGATTTATTTGAAAGACTTCTGTCCAAGAACTCCATCCCACAACAGAGTACAGCTATGTTACGTACATGCACCCATTGATATTAGAGAGAGGCTGACTGACTGTAGTGCAGAAAAAGAAGAGAGATTTACAGTGATTGTTCCATTTCAGCTGTGAATTACCACAACAGGAGTTGAAGTTATCAATATTCTGACGGTGACTAATCAGAGAGCGAGAGAGAGGTTGGGGAGGGGGAGAAAAAACGAGGAGGAAATGATGAATCAAAGCATGTGTGTGCAAGGCAGAATGCGAGAGAGCAAGAGAGCGAAAGAGAGAGAAAGAGCGTGCAAGACAGAGCGAGCGTGTGAGAGAGCGAGCGTGAGAGAGAGAGAGAAACTGCACCGATGATCGACGCCAGTCTGCCACCACTCTGTAGCAGCGAGAGGGTGCAACAAAAGCACAGAACGACGTCTCTGCTTCTCTCCTCTCCGGTCCCCTCTGCATCTCTCCTCCTCCTCCGTGCCGACAACTCCGTACACAACGCTACCCAGACGCAGCAAGCCGGCGTCGCGAGAGGGGGACTCTGCCCGCCATCAACAAGTTAGGGTTGACGGACCCTGAGCGGCGAAAAAAAGGAATGTTTGCTCTTCAATTAAGCCAGTGAGCTGACGACATTGCGGTGGAAAAGAACGGGAAGAGAAAAGGAGGGGGTGTGCTGTTCAGTTCGCCAGGCTTGCTTTAGATGCAAATCATCAACTTCAAAAAGATTAAGGATTCCTGGAAGCGAAAAAATGCCACTTCTTTCTTAATCGGGGGATTGAATCAAAAACAAGGAATAGAAATAAAAAAAAAAACAAGATGGACAAAACCAACATCCCATGACATGGAATTTCTGAATTTGTTTCAAATGAGGGGGCTCAGCATTGTTTTAGTTCAGAAGACCTTGATTCCTTTTGTATTTACTCAAAAGGCTTTTTCCCCCTTTGGATTTCTCTTCCATCTGGCTGTTCCAGGAGTCTGAGGAAAAAGACAGTTGAATGCAGCCGCCGATGTTCACAAAAGAATGGGTAAGTTAGCTCTTTTATTCACGGAGACTGGACCTGAATAGGAAATGGAGTGAATTGGAAAGAGAGGGAGAGTGCGGGAGGGGGGGTGGTGGGGGGATGACAGGCTATCCAGAAACATCTATGTACTTAAAATGTCGTCTTCTGTCTTTTTATCCCCCTTTTGGATCCTATTAGATCGTGATTTAGACTGACGCTGAATAATTGCAGTATTGTATGGAGTGTGACGGGAGGTAGGAGGGTGGCTACGATGAAATAAAACATTAAAATAAGGTTACTAAATGAAGAATAAATAAAGGGGAGAGAGAGACTGAATCATAAAATTGTGAAGCTGCAGATGTTACAGCTGTCGGACGAAACAGGTGAACAAACCACGCGTAGGTAGCATAAATATTAATGAAAATGTATTGCTAATGTAAAAAATGTAAATTATCAACAATAATGAAACCACAGTGGGTTGAAAATTCTCTATGCAGTGCACAACTACTGCACTACCGCACAGATTACTGCAAAACATAGTAAGAGGCAGAGTCTGAAAGAGAGCGCTAGGATAAGAAAAAAAATGTTTCCATGCACTGCAGAGATCAGATTTCCCTCCCCCCCGGTTTATTTTCTTATCTTTAAACCCACCCAGGTTTCCATTCAAGGTGGCCATTGGTGGGACAAGCACCAGCGGCACTTTGTGTGATCAGCATGCTACTGTGCCTGCCTCCCGCGTCATGCACAGCCTGCCCTCAGAAATGCCGCTGCGAGGACCTGCAGTTTTACTGCGACACGCAGGGGCTCCTGGCGCCCCCAGACGGTGTGGACAAAGGGGCCCTGGGGCTCTCGCTCCGGCACAACAGCATCAGCGAGCTGAGCCCAGACCAGTTCTTTGGCTTCACTCAGCTTACTTGGCTCCACCTGGACCACAACCAAATACTCACCGTGCATGAGGATGCCTTTCAGGGGCTCTACAAGCTCAAGGACCTGAACTTGAGCTCCAACCGCATCACCAAGCTGCCCAACACAACCTTCATCCACCTCATCAACCTCCAAATCCTGGACCTCTCTTTCAACCAGATGACTGCGCTGGAGCCCGAGCTCTTTCACGGGCTCCGTAAGCTCCAGATCCTCCACCTGAGGTCCAATTTCCTGCGGACCACGCCCGTGAGGGCCTTCTGGGACTGCCGGAGCCTGGAGTACCTTGGCCTGAGCAACAACCGGCTCCGGAGCCTGGCCCGGAACGGGTTCGCTGGGCTCATAAAGCTACGGGAACTCCATCTGGAACACAACCACCTGACCAAGATCAACTTGGCTCACTTCCCCCGCCTGGTTGCCCTCCAGTTCCTCTATCTCCAGTGGAACAAGATCAACAACTTAACGTGCACCATGGAGTGGCAGTGGACCACTCTGGAGAAACTGGATCTCACGGGGAACGAAATACGCTCGCTGACCCCCGATGTGTTTGAAACGCTGCCAAACCTTAAGGTTCTGCTGCTGGATAACAACAAACTGACCAGCCTCGACACCCAAACGATGGATATGTGGAAGTCCCTGAACATCATCGGGTTGTCCAGCAACCTTTGGGAATGTACCAAAAGGATCTGCAACTTGGCCGGTTGGCTAAGTAAGTTCAAAGGTCGATGGGAGCATTCCATCCTATGTCACAGTCCAGAGTTCACGCAGGGTGAGGAAATACTAGATGCTGTTTATGGATTCCAGCTCTGTCAGAACTTCTCAGCACCAGTTGTACTGACCAGCACCACAACGGAGGCCACGCTGCCCCAAGAGTTCACTAGCTCCTCGTTTGGGAATATGCAGACGCCGACACAGGACTTCTATGCAGAGGATTTTGGGAGCTTTACTGTTGTGACCACCACTACTACCACTACCCAAACCCCACGTACTGCCTTGGCCACCACCACCACGGTGGATGGGACGGATGTTACCGAGGACTACGCCATGATGGACAACACAGTGCTGACCCAGAGAGTCATCATAGGTACTATGGCCCTTTTGTTTTCCTTCTTTCTCATCATTTTTGTAGTGTACATCTCACGGAAGTGCTGCCCTCCCACTCTACGAAGAATCCGCCACTGCTCAGCCATTCAGAACCGGCGACAGATGAGGACCCAGCAGAGGCAGCCAATGGCGGACCTGGCCACACAGGTGCCCTATAACGAATATGAACCGAGTCACGAGGAGGGCGCACTCGTGATCATAAACGGCTATGGGCAGTGCAAATGTCAGCAACTGCCTTACAAAGAGTGTGAAGTATAGACACTTTATTTATTCCTGCAGTTTATGGGTTTACCATTTTAACCATTTCAAATGATACAGGGTTTGTTTTTGGACTCATTTTCAGTTTGTAAAGAAAGGGATGAAAAAAACAAACATTAATTCTTTCTACTCGCTAGCTTTGAAAATCAATGAAAATCTGGAGGTCACAGGGATGGAATGGAAGAAAGAATAGATATATAGAGAAATCCACAAGTTTATTTTTATAATACGAACGCAAGGCTCATATCAAGCTGGGGCAATCATTCTCAGATGAAGTTGGTATGTGAGATTCGTCACTGCATTATTAGTCACTTATACAGCAGCACAGAAACGACAAAAAGAAAAATCTATAACCAAATCGCCTGGAAACTTGTGCTCCAGAAAATGGTTTATAAAGTGACATTCTTAATCTGAGAGTGAAATTTTATTACATGGAAAGAAGTGTTGTTTCAAATGGTGTGTACAAGTGCAAATCTGATGAACAAAAAGGGAAAAATAAACGTGGTGCACGTCAGACAACACTACTGATTACACCTAGTCACTTTTTGGGAGAGGATACAAAATTTTAAATTTGCTGGCTTCATGGTTGGGTACAAAGAGTGATTTTTTAATTCACCTTTTTATTCTTTAAATTACAGAGATTACAGGGAGAGTACTGTTAAATTTATCCCATACCTGATTTAGCTCACTGAGTGTCTAAAGAGGGAATTCAGCCATTATTTCCAAATATCTGCCATGTTCATTTGTGTTTGATCTAGCGAAAACTTCAATTTCAACTCATGAGAAGGGTCAACAGCCTTCTTGTTTTTGATTTAATCCAATAAATTCCAACCCCTTCTTCGAAACGTGAAAAGCTTAGCACTGTGTGTGGAAAGGTTAATGTCCAATCTTACTCTGCGTTACATTCGCTGTCTGGTTAGCTCCTCCTGCTATGACGTCAGCAGGGATTGAATAAACGTTACCCAGAGACATTTGCTTACTTTACCATTATGCATAAGCACATTCATGCTTAAAGAAAAGAAAAGAAAAGAAAAGAAGGCTTGGACGTAAATACTCCAGCCTGACAATGACATACTCACTGTGACGGTTTGCTGCTGCTTTGCCCATTGAGTCATAAATTACTAGTAGAGATCATTAATGTATGGTAGAGGACAATAAAACCACCAGCGAAGGCATAATTTCCAAGAGACAAGGCAGAGAGAGAGAGGGAGAGAGAGTGGTGAGAGGGAGAAAGAAAGAGCATGCAAGTGGAAGACAGAGGAAAAGGAGCATAAAAGAAAAAGAGGAGGGAGAGAGCAAAGCAAGAGAACAACCAATAGAGAGCGTGTACACACAGGCACACAAAATTCTGTACTAAAAATAAATTCATACAGGCTCCGGAACAGCCTTCCTCAAAGCCGCAGAGACCGTAATCACACCTGACAGCTTGAAGATTGAGCCAATTAAGGACAGGCAAAAGAATCTAATATTCTGTCACCCACACCACTGCTCCAAAAAGATTTAGACTGCTCGGCCATTCAGGAGCAAAAGACTGTTACACTGGGAGAACACATGCTTAGCCCTTCGTTTCCAGGGAAAAAAAGACAGAGCGCTTTTATTGACTATTCCTGATGCTGGATTTCCAAATAGTGTAGGAGATTCTTTATCTTGGGCATATTACTGGCATGGTGTGACAGGAAGGCAGGGAGATGGACGGGTTAGAGAGATGAGAAAAAGTCAGGAAGAGAGAAGGTGAAGAGCTGCGAGCCTCTTTGGAGAGAGTATGGTCTAGGTCTCTCTCCACTAAACCTACGAAGGGGGGGCTGGGTCAGGATACATTTGTATGCAGCAGGGAGAGGATGTGCATTAGCATCAGACTGAAGAAGCCAGAGCAAGAGCAGCTCTGTGCGTTTCATTTAGAAGCTTCAAGGGGGAGGAAGAAGCACGGAGGGGGGCCGAGCTGAGCCTAAGTAATGTCTAACCTTCACCGATGAGGATCTTAAAACCTACAGTGGTGACATTGCATGAGGACGTAAGACAAAAAGTGATGAGAAATCCTCAGCAGAGTCACGGCGAGGGTCCTGAAAACGTATTACTCATTTATAGACTTTGAATATAAAAAGGGTTCGGAACAGAGCTGCTAGTTATACATCAAATCAAACTGTGACGGAGGCTTTGGGTGGCATGCCCAGAAATTCACCTGAGGCGCTGCTAGTCATATCAGAGGTATTTTTGGCATAACTTAAAATAGAGAAGGTATTACAGCGAATATGGAGTGAGGATGGAGCAATTACCCACCACAGAAACAGGATGGCCTGATTGGTGGGCTGCAAGAACAGGATTGTGGCCCCTAGAGGGCACTGTGGAAAGCTATCTGCAAGGAAACGTGCAGACGTATTAAGCATTGAATTTTTCCTGAGTGGAATGTGCACATCATTTACACATGAATAAAATATATTAACACAATTAAGGCCAAAAGAAAAAGGCAATAATGTGCTGATCTAATATTTTATTATTGTGGAAATTATGTTAACATTTTAATCAAGCAAAATTCAACACATTGGGACCTCATTCTTCAGAGATCATCCAAGTAAACTGAACCAGCATGCCCCTCTGCAGCCCCTCGAACAAAAACGTTATTCTAAAATTGAATTTAAAAGGAATATATGCACCGAGACAAACCTGGAGGACGAGTCAATGTAGCAGACCCTTATCCACTGATACCTGGCAAGGATTCTTAGAGCATTTACATTCCAAAAGCCCATACACGAAAGGTCAGAAGGTGGAGTGAACAGAGAGAGAGGATGTTTTAAAGAAACTACTGCTGATACCTACTGAGCCAAGTATTCCCACTTTCTCTTTTCTCTGTTTCAGATCTACCAAAAAGATAAAAAAACTCTGTGCTGAAGATAAAAGCTTTCCGTGCACCTCCTAAAACGTCTTGCATGTTTTGAGAATACAGAACAAGTTCACCTAGTCATATCAGCGCCATCCGAACGATAAGTAATTGACCTCTTTCCTGGTGTGAGTACAGAGACGAGGGCAGGAAAAACAGTCATATATTTTCTTCTCTAGACGCGAGAACAGGCAGACACTGACATCTCACTGTTTACCAATCAGCTTCTCAAGTGACTGCAATCCACAGCTCTGTGGAGACGCATCCATTTGCACTCACGCTCTTGTAAACGATTTTTTTCTTCTTTTTTTTTTCTTTTTTTTTGGGTTCTTCTTGTCATAATGCTGAATTTCTGCTCCGCACTCTGCCCAGAAACTTCCCTTTCTGAAATCACGCTCCTTCAACCTCTTTGTGCAAAATGAATGCTTTTCACACCCTCTTTTTCCTTTTGTATTGTATATGTACAATTTCATATATGTATAGTGGATAAAGATGTGGCCAACTGAAGGAAAAGAAGTTTCCTTAAAACATATATTTTTAAATAAAATGTTACAATTTATAAGTGTTTCAGTTTGATATGCTCTGTGAGTCTTAGGATTAAAAAAATGGATTTCATTGAAACAAATCAAAACAGTATTGCTACGTATCTAGAAATACTGAGGGAGTAGTACAAGGACAGCTTTGGGTAGGTGATATGGCAAAAAATACAATGTAATATTATTATTTTTGAAAGTTGGTACGTTGGAACAGACAAAAAGCTCTAGTAGTGGCACATTTTTAAAAAGTGTACAATGTGTACTCTTCATTCAACAAACCACATACTGTGTCGCACTAAATCCAGTGAAACAGGACTAAATATACTCTCTTTGTAATAAAATATGCAGTTGGTCAATGTGCTTTAAGTACCGATATCTATGATTTGCTCAGAAAAGCAAGCAATTAATCATGACACAATAAATCACTGCCATACTGCCCACGTTACCTTTCGTGGTGCTCGCCTTGAGAACAGTTAATTTACAGTTCGCTCAGCACTTCATTAGCAGACCAAATAAGAAGTTTCCTGGAACGAAACCTTTTAACGCCATTTCATCAAACTTTTTTTTTCCTCCTCATCTGGACCGTAGGCAAAGAGTAGAATTTGAAGTAAATGGCTTTTGATATCATTCCAACTACAGCACTTTTCTGCCCTTTGAAACCAAGATTACTGCCTGCCTGAATAACTGCCATCAAGACGCAGGGGCATTTCTGATGTTCCGAGCTAGCCCAAGGCACGAGCGGTGCTCAAGTCATGAAACAAGAACTTTGATAAACATTACATGATTGACATGGGCTGAAAATGATTATGTAGACCACTGGTTCATGATTTAAACACAAACTAAAGGGGAAGAACCACCACAGTGTTTGGCCAGAGGCTTACATGTGACTGGGCTCTATCTCTCTCCTTCTTTCTATATAGGTTATGGTGCTGAATAGACTTTTGTGGGAACATTTCTGGGTGGATTTCTTCTCTGTATATTCTTCGCATTCTTTGCTGAGCAGAACACATTTCTGGGGCATAAAAACTCCTACAGCAACCTATTCAGTCGATCCTCTGCCGAGTCCTACACATCTGTCCAAATATAGATGACTGGTCTGAAAGGACTGCCTGCTTGGTTAATGCTTTTTTTTGGGGGTAGCAATTTAAGAGTTTACTATTGAAAGTACTAATATTCTACAGGTTCATGCTGATAGTTTAAAAAGTCATTTTTAACCGAAAAAAGTGTGATATTCTGTCTATTCAACAGGGATTCAGCATTAAATAAAAATAAATAAAAAATGTACATACTCATGATGTCAACATTGGAGCACAAAAGCACTCCAGGCAAAGTGTTTAGGGCTTTTTAAATAAGAAGAGGTTTGGGAGACTAATATGCTTTCAGCGAACATTTGGTGTAATTGGTGTTATGACAAAGGAAAGTACGCAGTGTGCCGTTGTGTAGCCTGCTGGAATAAATGTGCTGCTGCTACAGTTATTTCAATGGTGCAAGCAAGGAAGTAAACACTATTCCACCACACAGTTGTTACCAGCCTGTGGTACACATTGCGAATTGCAAATATTCAGCATTGGAGGAGGAGGAGGAGGAGGAGGAGGAAGAAAAGCAATTTCCAGCATCTCTCCCTCTCTCCTTCTAGCATCACCTATAAAATAAGAAAAATAATATCCACATTGATACGGTATGCACTGGCAAGGGTAATGCATCAGCAATGGTGACCAACCAGACTATAAAAACAATCTCGGGTGTGGTTCGCCCTCTTTATTATGGATCACGTCCACCAGCGGGGCTAATAAAACTACAAATCAGCTTTAGCCTTGTGTGTCATGCACCATTTCTAATGCAGTGCTCGGCCTATCGCTGCCAAGACATGATGGGCTCTCGCAGTAAAAAACTAGTGATCCACCGATCCGATATCCTGAACGGGATATCCGTCAAACTGTTTTTTTTTGTGTTTCTCTTTTTTAAATAATGGTCTTTCTAACGTTTAGAAATTTCGTATAAATAATGCTCTCTACTGTACATTTATATAAATGTATTTTGCCCAGTATGCACCTAGTCCATCACAGCTAAGACATGACAGCCTGTGGGCTCTCAGTGAAAACCTGGATGGTTTTGGCAGCACAACTGAATGACTCAAGTGGAATGATCACAAAACACAGCAATGCCCCTGGGGGTCTGCTGACCACTTGCTAACAGATGCATCGCCTATGGGGACCATTTCAAAGAGAAAGAGAGCGAGAGAGAGCGAGAGAGAGGAGATGTGCAAGAAAGGATACACTGAGCTAATACCGAGTGATACATGCTTTATACCACTGTAGAAGTCATACAGCAGTGTTAATTTTAGTTTTAGCGTCAATATATTCTAGCAATATATTCTAACGCATAAAGCAGGACTGTCTTTGCTGACATCCCAGTAGAAACAGATTATGTAAGAGTCCATCTGAGGTCTTTTTAAGAAAAGAGAACAGGGAAAAAAAAACAAAAAAAACAAAATATACCAAATCAAGCTAGTTGGGACTGTAATGCATTCCTTTAGCACAGACTAGCAGCTCTTAGGAAGCAAGGCTTTATTAACCTGAAGAACATAAGTTACACAACAGTGATATATCTGGAAATGATATTG